GGGCGACATTAGCGACATTTGGCAACACTTGAAACCATGCTTGATAGTGTATAACCACTTACAACCTATAGCATGCTTACCAAGGAGTGGTGAGATCCCACATATGATTATGATCTAGAGCTGAGAGTTTGTCTTCCATCGCTTGACGCCATCCTCGAGAGGTAAGGGCTTGCTGGACATCCTTAGGAATAGAAGCAAATGACAACAACGAAACAAACTATCGATGGGAAGCAGAAAAATGAGATACAAAAACATAATTAGAGATAGGATGAAGGGTACAACTGCGTTTCCCTTTAACGCAAGGCAATGGAAAGGTCAAGGTTAGAAACTGGGGGTGATGGTGGTGCAGAATCAACTGTTGGATCTGTTGACGGTGAAGAAACTGGAGGAGTTGTCGGTGTATGTCGATGCGTATACACTTGTCATATAGGTGGTTGTTCAGCAAGAAGTTGCACCGAAAGCGAAGACTTAGTCGTAGTAGGAACAAGAGGAATGGGGTCCTTAATAGGAACTGGAAGCGGAAGAGAAGGAGAAAAGACATCTGACCTAGAAAAAAATGGAACAAACTCAAAGAACGTAACATCTAGAAACACAAAGCAACGTTGAGAACTAGGATTATAACATCTGCACCATTTTTAGGTCCTAGAGTAGCCAAGGAAGACACACTTGGTAGATCATGCATCTAATTTGTCCATTCCAGGTCCAAGATTATGAACAAAACACATACACCCAAAAGCCCTAGGAGTGAGAAGAAACAGAGAAAATGTAAGAAACAAAACAGAGAAGGGAGATCGACCATCAAGGATGGACATAGGCATTCAGTTAATAAGAAAGGAAGATGCAAGCACAGCATCACTCCAGAAACACTTATGTACATTCATATGGTGCAAAAGGGACCGAGCAGTTTCCAAGAGGTGGTGGTTCTTTCTTTCAACTACCCCATTTTGCTGAGGGGTGTAAGTGCAAAAGGTTTGATGAATAATACCATGTTGTTCCAAATATTGTTGAAAAGGTGTATAAAAATATTCTCAGTCATTATCAGAACGAATGATCTAAACATGTACACTAAATTGAGTGTGAATTTCAGCATGAAACTTTTGGAAAATAAAAAATAATTCACTCCTTTCTTTCATAAGATAAAGCCGTGTCATCCTTGAATAATCATCGACAAAAATCACAAAGTACTTGTAACCATTGTGTGACACTATTTTATTTGGCCCTCAAATATCCAAATGAACCAAAGAAAAAATACTCAACATACGACTATCAACCCTATGACTAAAGGGAACACAATGATGTTTCCCATACTAACACAACTCACAATCCAAAGTAAAAAGACGACTCAATGTTGGAACAAGTAACTTAAGTGCTTTAAGAGACGGATGACCAAGTCTACAATGCCACTGTAGAGGAGAAAGAGACGACTAAAGAATTGTTGACGAACCACTAGGTCCACCACCATCAAGGTAATACAGCCCATCGGCTTCATGCCCTTCACCAATCTTCATCCCCGTCTTGAGATCTTGAAAAACACAAGAGGGGTAAAATGCGATAGAGCAATTAAGAGACTTGGTCAATTTACTAGCAGATAAAAGGTTAAAAGGGAATTTAGAAACACACAAAACTGAAGACAAAGATAGTGAACCAGTGTTAACATTACCAATACCACATATGGAAGAGGTGGAGCCAAGGGTAACAATGTGGGGTGTAGAGGACGGAAAAATAGAAGAAAACACACCTAGAGTCCCAGTCATATTATCATAAGCTCCAGAGTCAATGATCCAATGAGAGGGTTTGGATGCCAAATAAGCCATACCTGAGTGGGCAAGCATAATTGTATTCTGCTGAGAAGTAGCCTAAAGAAATCACTTACCCGGAGGCATCTATAGATATAGGTGTTTGATCAGCTTGCTGATTTTCTTGTCTCATATCCCCACCACTATGCCACTACATGATTTGCCCAAGTTGAAGGTGGGCCATGTAAGTCACAACAAAAGTTGATAGTATGTCCCTCCATTCTACAATGTGTACACTTCCGTGGACCACCGCTACGCCCTTTACCATGAACTCCCCCTAGCCCACCACCACGATTGTATATGGGACTGCTACCACCACTACAACCTGGCTGAATTCCCCGAGCTCCTCCTCTACCACCATGACCTCCCCCTCTTGTCACTGCAAAAGCAAACCTATTAGATATGGTAAGAGTTCTCTGTAAGCCCAACCGAAATCCTCCTGAGATGAGCAAACACCTCCTCAAGAGAGGGAAGGGCAAACCCACCTAGTATTTGTGCTCTCACCGGTTCATATTCACACTTCAATCCCATTAAAAATCTGGTTACATCAAACTACTCTCTCTCTCTCTGTTGTTGCTGGGTTTTGACATCAGATGTAAAGGGATGATACACAGTCAACTCATTCCTAAGATTCCACAGGCTAGCATAGTACTCCTTAAGACTTTGATTACCTTGTTACAAATTAAAATACTCTTGGTAAAGCTAGTATACTCTAGTAGTATTGTCTTATCCTAAGTAAAGCTTCTTTGCATGATCCCAAATCTCTTTAGTTGTGTCTAAGAACATGAAATTCACACTAATCTTAGGTTCCATGCTATTCCACAACCAAGTCATAATGTGTGCATCTTCTTGTTCCCAATCACTGCACTCCTAAGAGTCAATTGAGGGTTTATCTTCTTTCACATGCTTCACCTTCTTCTTAGCTCTAAGAAAAACTTCAACAAACTTAGCCCAAGGTACGTAATTCTCTCCGTTTAATAGAGGTCATCTGCACATTCAAGTAATCAGGGGGAGTCATAACACTAGATGTGTTCATTGATGTCTCCTATAGCTGCCATAAAAAAAATCACACGCATATGTCACACTACCTTACTAACCAATCACCACACTGCACATCCACGACTAACTATTGCTGAAACATCTACTGTCACAAGTTTCAACAATGGTAATCACCACTGTTCTCCACTTTCGACACCCCAAAAAATCACCCAAATACGCCTCATGCACATAATACTAGGTCTGCAACACACCAGAGATTGCTCCCCACCACAACACCACCAACTGGAGGCATCAAAACCTCCATAAACAAAAAGCGATCACTCCTTTTCAGCCTTTTTGTCAAACTCCAAGTGACTGAAGAAAAATCTGCAAAATACTAGATTGGGAGGCACAGAAAACTGGGCAGATCTCAACTGATTTATAACAGATCTGATACCATGAATAAAGTTCAGATCTGTATAGGTTTCAGTTTCAGAATAACAGAAAACAAGAATGAAAGAAAAGAGAGATAGGAGAAGAGAAGAAGAGGTAGAAGAAAATAATGGATTGAATTAGAGAACACACTATCTCTCTAGTCGGCCAGATTTATTTATAGTTTTCTAAATAGAAGCTGAACGACTATTGTGCCCCCATTTAAGTGTGGGACACATCACTTAGAATATAACAGTAATTACAYCAAGCATATATCATAAAGTAAAATGACTAAACTACCCCTCTACAGCGGGCTCTAACAACTTTGAAAGATAGATTCCCCTCACTCTATGATAAGCTCAAAACAAGGAGGCTGTGGTGGAGGAGTGCTTTGATCAGGTGAGTGACAGAATTCTCTGGGGCCCTTCCTTTAGAAGAAACTCAATGATTGGAAAGTCGGTCCATTGGCTGATCTACTAAACCTTTTTTCATCAGCTTCTGCTGATCCTTATCCAAGGCATAATGCCTAATCCCCAGCTGGAAGATGAAAGTGTTTGGGGCTTGGAGAAATCAGGTAAATCCTCAGTAAAATCTCTTTATGGCTGTCTCTCCTACAGACAAGATTCTGCTTTCCCTGGGTTAGGATCTGGTGTCCTCGCATACCTTCTGAAATTGCTTTCCTTCTCTGGACTGCAGCCCTCAATAGATGCTCAACCACAGACCAGCTGATTAGAAGAGGAATGCCTCTTCCTAATGATCTTTGCTCTTTCTGCAATGAATCCTGGAATCCTCAAGTCATATCTTCTTGCATTGTAGCTTCTCCTAGCTGCATTTCTGCTTGCCACAATCTCTACTTCAGCTATTGCAGGGTTGGTCTATCAAAGGCTTGAATAGAAGGGGCTTCTCTGGAATACCTTCCAGGCTGCTATCATTTGGACAGTGTGGAAGGAAAGGAATAGTCATACTTTTGACAACAAGCATCCTACCTAGAAATCAGAAATTTTCTTATAGGTTTACTTTGTTCTTGGATGGGTGTACAAAAAAATATTTCAGGGTGTCTAGCTCATTTCTTTTTTGCATGCTGGAACTTTTTTGATTGATCTCTTAGTTCTGTTTATTCACATTGTACAGGTCCTCTTTGTACATGGGGATGTTCTTTTGATCTTTATAGTTTTTCAATACAATACCAATACTTTAACTTTCTCAAAAAAAATAAAAAGTAGCATTGGTATTTTTGGGGACTTTTTGTGTTGAAGTACCTTACCAATTACCATAATATTTATGGTTCATATGCCATGCTTTTAAATTATTATGCATTAAACAGTGTTCTTAAATTATTTGTGTTAAAAAACTTTGAGGTATCAAATAAGTATCTTAGATTACATGTGTTAAACTTTGTGTATCCATGTATCCCTGATAAAAAAATGCTATAACCCAATGTCATCCTGGCTCTTTGGAGTCTTGGGAGGGGTGGATTGGATAAAGTCCAAACCTTTGGAAAATTTTTACACAAAGTGACTGCTCCCAGAATCAAATCCATTTTTTTCACACTCGTTAGCTTGAGATTTCACCATTATACCAAGTAATGGCCCCTATGGCCCTATCCATGTATCCCCGATATATATCTTAAATTGAAATTTCTCATATGCATTGCTACAATAATATTTTGAATCTTTCTCTGTGTTTCTAATTCATGTGCATACACAAATAAGACTGTAGCATGTTCTGTGTTTTCCTGGGAAACCATAAAATCCATTATAGATAGCATGGTTGCAAGAACAGAAGATGAGTTACCTCAACAACAAACTTGAATGCACAAGCAACATTAGCATTGCTGCTGACAACAATCACAATATATACATTGCTGATTCTCATGTAAAAGAAAGAGCAACCTCCAATTTGCCGAACAGGACATGTACCAAGTTCTTTTGTTTGCATTATATGCATTCGAAATGCATCCACCATATTTCCACTGAAAGAACCATTAAAATTAATAAGATGCTTTGAAGGAACTGCCCCACAGAGAGAAGAGAAAATGCAATTATGCAGTCACCAACAAAATCCAGAAATATAAACTTGAATAGATGGAGAAAAAATGCAAAAGTTGCATGGATCAGAGGTTTATCATTTTGTAATTAATTTTGCATTTGCAGCGATCCTTTTGTAGATTCCCCAATGTACAGTCTCTTGTTGTACATGGGTGATGGCTTTTCTGATTATTATGGTTTTACTTTATCTGTTCTCAAAAAAAATGTCTGTTTTATTTATTTTTTTGATAAGCAACCATGAAAATTTTTTATTAATAGTAAACAAACATGTACAAGTTGTACAACCAGTCAATACAAGAGGTAGTCCCTACTACCTCACCCTTGTCCAGTGAGTTACAATTTAGTGGAAAACATTTGATTTCTGTTTTTCTTCCTGATAAATAAAACATTTGGTTTTTGTTAACCCCTGTAAGAGTATAGACATGCATAACACTATAGTTAAGCATAGCTATTATAGTCATGCAAAACAAGGACGCCAACAATGATAAGCAATTCCCCAATGTACAGTCTCTTGTTGTACATGGGTGATACCATGATAGTTTTTCTGATTATTATTAATATAGTTTTACTTTATCTGTTCTGAAAAAAAAAAGTTTGTTTTATTTACTTTTTTGATAAGTAACCAAGAAATTTTTTTATTAATAGTAAACAAATGTGTACAAATTGTACACCCAATCAATATAAGAGGTAGTCCCTACTACCTCACTCTTGTCAAATGAGTTGCAATTTAGCCCAAAACATTTGATTTCTGTTTTTCTTTTCTGATAATAAAACACCCGATTTTTGTTAACCCTTATAAGAGCATAGACATGCATAACACTATAGTAAGAATCAGAGGACGTGTGAAATAGGCACTTTGGCTATTATAGTCATGCGAAACAAGGTCACCAATGATGATAAGCAATTGACAAGATCTGGAATACACACATGAGGTTGGGAAAAGCATGTGACCTTGTACCAACCTTCATGTGATTCCTCTTGTAACAAACAAAGCAGACAGGGTAACTAACCAACATGCCTATCTTGTCAGGCATATTTTATAATAGTGTTTTTGTCATGACTTTCTAAAAGATAATCAAATAAAGACAGAGGAATAAAGTAACAAATCAAAAAAAGACCTTCAAGTCTAGAAACTTCGAACAACAAATATAAATATCAGCTCAAATCCCAAAAATGAGCATCAGTAATCAAAACTTCAGAAAGGAAGTATCAGCCTCGAAACCCTAGTGCAGGATATTCTCCACCTGATCAGAGTGAGAAAACCATTGCCACCATTACCGAGAGAGTTCCAACTCTCTCCCTCTCACTCAGTCCTTAATCACTCTTCAGTTTACCAGATCTGAGGGGGATTCAGCCCCTTCTCCTCTGTCACTTCAGCTTTCAGAGTTTCAGATCATCTCAATCATCACCATTACCTTTCAACCCCTTGTTTTGATAAGGCATCACCAAACAAGTGGTTGATCTTTGCACCCATTGAATCTTCAATTGGGAATTTCTAGTCACCCATCTAAACTTCTTGCTTTTATTTCTGTAGCTCCACATTGCTCCATCTTCATTCAATAGTCCCGGTAATTAATTTATTAAATAAAAAAAATTGTTTTATTAATACTTGTCTAGTCCAGCAGTTTTTGTTTGCAGTCCAAAAATTTCTATTTTTGTCTAAGGTCTAATGTAGGTGGTGTCCCACAATTAAATGGTCTCTATGGGAAGGTATTTTATGGTCATAGAAACGTAATTAAAAGATATCCCACCTATTTCTTTTTTTTATTGTTAACTGTTCAAAGTATTTTTCTTGCAGGGAAAATACCTTCATCAAAGTCTTCTGCCATTAATTTTACAATCTGGATGCCAAGGATCTTGCTTTGCTATAACCACTCAACTACAATCTTTTAATCCCCTTCAACTTCAAGCCCTACATGGTCCAAAGACATAGCCGATTTTGTTCCTTGTAGAATGAGTATAATTGAATATGTCTGGAGTTTAGTTTCCAATTCCCAATGATCTAGTGTAAAGCAATCCCACCTATTTCTTTAAAAAGGGATGGAATCTATTTATGGTTAAAAAATACATGATAAAATTCAGAATTTTGGTTCTTGAACATATTTCCCTGCAAATTGAGAAGAATTTTTTTTTGTGAGGCCATGGGGAATATCCTCTACTAAAATGGTGTACAATGCGCAAGTGCTAGTGCTACGAAGAAGGCTGTCCAGTCCATGGAGTGGGAAAAATTCGCAGTCACAAGCTCACAACATCCAACTCTAATGAGTCAGTTTTACAAAATCATTTTGTGGATCCTTAGAAACATCAAAACCATTTTCAGTTGATTTCTGTGATCTTTCTGAGGAAAAATTACATACATATATAATACATATATTTGTATAAAATATTTATAAAACTTACACGTAAACCCACACCATTCAAGACCATGAATACCGTAGTTCTATCAAAAATTCAAAACACTGAAGCTCTAATTTTTCTCTCCTAAAAGTATCTGAAATACCTTGATGCAACTATTACTATCCCCATTACCCAAGACTCGTAAAAGTGCAGAAACGCAAAAGAGACTATTGATGAAATCCGATAGTTGGGCTTACCCCACATCGTCGCGATACAGACGATTGATGAGAACATCGCCCCGAAGATTCAGAAAATATATAGCCGAAGCCGCCACCGGCATCTTCGATCCAGCGGACCGAAAATTGAAAGGTCTCAAATTGAGATCCCCAACGCAAAACCTTCGGAGAGCGAATCGAAAGCGATCAGAAAACCATCCACGTACAGAATGCAGGCAATAAGAGAGGAAGTAGATGGGATTTCAGATCTAGGGTTTCGAATTCCGGATTCGAGAGTTGCTGGGGGCTTGCACGGAGCAGCTCAAATCGTCGTCGCCGGGAGATGACAAAGGCACCTTTTGCTGGAGGAGAGACTGATTCTGATTCAATTGAAAGAGAACGTGTGCGAGAAAAAATGGGATTTTTCAAAGTTCTCTCTGTCAGCGTTTTCTCTTCTTCTCTCGCTTGTTTGCTGATCAAAAAGAAAAACAGCGGGAGATTGACTTTTGACGGCACGTGCTCTGTAGTGTAGACCTATGTATTATGCTCTATTACCATCTCTGGTCTCTGGGTGTTAATACGATTAATAAATAAATTAAACTAAAAATGCTTAAAATATTACGTAACATATAAAATATGCCAAAAATATTTTTTTACAGATTTTGCCTTTTTTATAATGTATGTATATGTATATTAATAATAAAATGACTTTTTTTTTTTGTCAAAGGGAAAGAGCCAAGAGGACATAATATTATATCAAATTGAAAAACTTACATGGTTCTGGGCCGAGTTGCTATTAATTGGCCCTTACGGTAAATATAAGCAAAATAAGCAAAAAGTATGAGCTGCCCGATTGTAACATCTAGCTATATGTACAAAATATATAGCTTCAAAAGAGGATATTAATCTTCTTAGATAGCTGACTCCTATGCAGTTGCTCTATTTAGTGCTTTACGTGATCTGTGATGGCAAAGTCAACTAGCTCTGTACTCTGTACTGTCTGTATAGACCAAAAGATGCCACATTCCTCTTGATTTGTAGCCCGGTCAGAAGGGCTCGTATTTCAGCGTCGTAGCTACTGATAGCCCAACAAGGTCTGCCTTGCTCATTGGCCTGTCTTGAGATGATAATTGTGTAGACGGCTTACACTCGAATATCCATTTGTTTCTAGCTTCCCATATGCAATAAATGATGATTGCAAACTTGCTGAGACTCGTTGATGCTTGTTGCTTCCCTAGGTTTTGAGCCAGTGAATTGTACCATTCCTAAACGATGATGTGAATGGGGGTGACCGTGGAATTGTACAAGGATTTAAGCCAATTTGGGCTCCGCACCATACATCCCGTGCAAATGGGCAGTGAAAATAGAGGTGGTGTGTGGTCTCTTCTTGACTGTTGCAGAATGCACAAAGTTTGTGTGGTTCTAGTAACCAGGGGCACCTACTTTTTGTGAGAAGTCCATCCTAGAGGGTCTGGTATGGAATTTTGAGATTCCACTTGAAGTGAGTGGTCGAGCTTGATGCACCCAATGAAGAGAAGAGATGAAAGGCCGACTTTACAGTGTATTGGCCAGAAGAGTTTTTTTTTCCAGATAAGTAGATCCGTCGACTGACTTGGCTCTATGTGTGTTGCTATAATATGTTGAATGGTGGAAGCTGAAAAGAATTGTTGGAGCGTTGGGAGACTTCATGAACCATCTGAGTTAAGAAACTCTAACACCTTCAGATCACGCATCCTAGCTTGAGCTGACGGCGAATTAGGATGTGGTATGTGTCCGGGCAGCGTTGGTACCCAAGGATCTGAAGTGGCAGAGACAACTAGCCCATCCTATTGACCACAGTAAATTCGAATGCAATAATGGTAGTAGCTGATGTGCTTGCTGCCACCATTGAGAAGTACGACTTCCTTTTTTTGATGCAAAGAGAGAGGTGTGAGGGAAGTACTTTGGCTTGACTTGCTTGCTCCATAGCCCCTGCTTATCTGTTAAAAGCCTCCATATTTGTTTCCCCAACATGGCTTGATTCATGATGCCATAGGTTTTAAAACCTAGCCCTCCTTGTTCTTTTGGCTGGCATAGCTTGTTCCATGATATGGTGTGCCTAGAAGCTTTATCTTTTATCACCCCACCAACCTGGAAGCTAAAATAACTCTAAAGTCTAAAGTCTTCAACCTATAATGCTACATTCAAATCAACTTTATTAATTGATGCACACTAATTATATGTATACATGAAAATAAATGTAAATGCTAAAGTATTATTGGATTTAAAATGGTGTTATAGGTAAAGCCACAATCAAATTGAGCTTTAATCAAATAGTGCGGGTAGGTATGATTTGAATTTGATTCTAATCGATTTCAAACATTAAGATAAGCCCAATTAGTTATTCAAGCTTGAGCTAAATCAATAAAAAGTTTGGCATGAAAGCTCATGATCTTGACTCGATTACATACATACATATTATAGAACATAAAAATATATTTTATAATATATATTACAAAAATACATTTTTTGTAAAATTTATTTTTATATTCTATATATAACATAAGAATGTACTATATATTATAAAAATATGTCGTATATAAAATATAAAAACATATTCATTTTTTTAGCTTTCAAGTTGAATTCAAACTCCTCAAATATTAATTTAATCAAATCAAGCACGAACGGAAAAATATAGTCGAATTCGAACTCAAACTTGGTTGTATTTTAGTTGAGTCGAGCCAAAACATACCAATGTTCAGCCCAGAGTACTTTTATTTATCTATTTATTCCTTTTTTTTGGTATTACATCATATCACAAGGGATGGGTGGGAGATGAGAGTTTGGATGGGGGGGGTGGGGGATAGGGAGATCTAATACCAATAAAACACTCCCAATACTGTCCCAACAAGTCATTGCAGCCACAAATTGGGAACATCTCACTGTGAATGACAAGGAAGATGTTCCCAATATACGATTGCAATGGTTGGTTGGGACATTATTAGCACTATGTGTTGTTATCTGATCCAAACTCACATTGGGAACATCTTTCCATGAAAGGCAAGGGAGGTGTTCTCAATGCAAAGCTAGAATGGCTATTAGAACCCTATGTTGGGTTTAGGCTGTTCCAACACAAGTTGCAACCTATTTCCTATACAAATATGTCATTATGATGCATCATTTTACCATCAACTTGTTCACTTTTGAGTTATTGTGCAACAATTTCTATATAATGCACCATGGATTTTGCCTATGTGGAAACACTTTTTAAAATGTATAATCCTTCAAAACAACGAGATTGAAAATGATGTTCAATATGAAAATGAATCATAGCCCTAATTTTCTCATTKCCTTGCTTAATTAGGAAAATAAACTTTAGGCCTCGCTCATGTCTTAGTAGGTCATTTACCCAAGCAAAAGCACTTATTAGGGTAAGTGTTTATTGGGAAGCACTTGGTCGGATAAGTGCACTTAGCATTGTTCTTTTATTCTATATGAAAAGTTATATATTGACTGTTTTATCCAAAAAAGTGACATTATTGAAGGGATTATTGTCCCAACACGTATTAGCAATTGTCTACGTGGATGGGTAAGTGATTACCCAAGTCTCATGAGGACATTACTTGCTCAATTAAATAAGCCACTCGAAAATCATTCTTTTCCACAGGACCCATTAATATCAAAATATAAATCACAAACTTACTTGCCCCACATATTAGCAATTGTCTACATGGACGGGTAAGTGATTACCCAAGTCTCATGAGGACATTACTTGCCCAATTAAATAAGCCACACGGAAATCATTCTTTTCCATAGGACCCATTAATATCAAAATATAAATCACAAACTTACTTGCCCCACGTATTAGCAATGGTCTACATGGATGGGTAAGTGATTACCCAAGTCTCATGAGGACATTACTTGCCCAATTAAATAAGTTATTTGCCCCTGCTTCTCGAAAAACAAAGCCTTAATGGTTGAAGAATATACCACTACTATAAGATGAGTAATACGATTCTTTATCATTATCGATACTACCAGATTCATCTCCTACTAATTTTTATTGCCACTCCTATCCATAAGAATGATGTGACAAAAGTGAGTTGTTGATTAATAATGTATCATAGTCATACATATAATAAATCTTTTTTATACTGATCGCTATAAATTTAATGGCTGAACTATTTTTTTATAAGAAAACTGGTAAGAGAGCCATTTAATAACATTTGAAGTGGTTGAATTGAATAACTTATTTATTATATGTATAAACCTCTTTACTAACATTTAAACTTGGGTTGAAGGATTGGAATAATACACCTTTCAACACTCTTCCAACAAGGTCTGATACCTTACCATGAGACTGGGACTCACCACAAAATTGGGAGCCCCCATGTCAGATCATGTTGGAAAGGGTGTTGGTATATATTTTGTTGGCAAGTAATCCGGACTCGGGTTGGGAATAAAGCACATTCCAACCGAAAAATATGAATCTCAGTTTGGAATTGAGTAAAAATCATGCATTGAAATTCTTTCACAATCTTTGGCATTTCATCTCTAGATCCTATAGGACAAACACATGTATATCTAGAGCAGTCATCAATCAAAGTAATATAATTCTTATATCCAGTCGCAAAAGGTAGAGTAACAGGGCCCCAAACATCAGAATAGACAATATGAAACGGAAATTCAGATCTTTTATTTCTTAAAGGAAATGAATTTCTACAATGTTTGTGTCGGCACCCAATTTTTGCTCGGTCCCCTCTCTAACCCACTTTTCATGCTCCAAATGCTTGATCAAGCCTTACCAACATCTTTAGAATATGCTAAGACCCTAGGAAGCTAAATTTTAACTCAAATAGCTTCAAGTACACCGTCGAATCACAAGATTCCCTTTTGACGGTCTCGATTGTGCCACACCACCACACCGTTACCCAATCAAACTCCATTGCATGAAACAAAGTCGTTTATCATCCAATCACACCAAATTTTAGCCCTAAATTCATTCATTTCACCATTCATCCATTAGAGGTTCCATTTCAACACATTTGACAAACTGACATTACGACAATTCTTGAGCCTAAAACCTATGATCCACACATCCCTGACATGATCAAACCCTCACAACAGCCTCGTAATTCAAATCCATGCCACTCCACCAAAGTCAAACTTAAAATTCCCTCATTTACCTATCCATCAACCCAAGATTCCATTTCAAGCCCCCTCATTGGCCAAAATACTCAAAACTTAGACCCTCATGATTCCCATACTTCTAAAGCCATCACACACTTCTATTAGACTCCTAGGACCCCAGGATACCCATCACCCAAATTTCAGACCCAAAAATGATTGTTTTGCCCCTTATCCAAAAAGATTCTAAAAAATATTAGATCTCCATCACGACAACTCCCCCAAGACGCTCAAATCTTCCTAAAACCTCCATTAGACTCCCGATCAACCAGTTGTCCAACTTTAGACCTCAAAATGTTCATTTTGTCTTTCATCTAAAATGATTCAAACTAATGATCCTCATTGGTCGCT